TATATTTTTATAAATTAAATATCAAATTTTCAAATAAAATAAGAGATATTAATGTTTAAAACTATTATATTCTTATAAATTAAAAATAAGTTTAAACGATCATTTTTAGTCCCTCAATTTCTAATATATGTATATTTTTCATCCATCTACTTTAAATTAAGAGATTAAAAATGTGTGTATTTAGATAAACTTAACATAGTAATTGATAGAAGGACTAAAAAAAATATGAAAAATGAACTAAAAAAGTACATAAAAAAGTTAAAGGATGAAAATTATGTAAAACATTAAAATTAAGGATCAAAAATGAAATTTACCCTTTTTAAATTTGAATTAAATTGTATTTGGCAATTTTTGTGTACCGGCCGGTACATCAAAATTTGACTGAAACATGCAAAATTTGACCAAAATAAAATTAGACCATGTACTATTTCAGTTTAATGTCAAAACAGATACATACCGACCATACCAACCAATACAGTACGGTATCTACTTCCTTGGGCCCATAACTCTTTTCCTAATCAATTCATTGGGCATATAGCTATACTTTACCCTTCAACTTTTCAAGTTTAAGGGATTTTACCCTCCAATTTATAAGTCAGGGTTATTCATCCTTTAATTTATCAAATCTAAGGGGTTTTGCCCTTTGATCAAATATTTCACGGTCTTGACCATTAAGTTTAATTTTCATCTTTTGATAAATTAACACTTTAGTCCCTAAACTTAATTTTGTTTCAAAACTAATTTTTATTTTATTTTGCTAAGATTTTTAATTCTTCTAGAGCTATTGCTCTTTTTTTTTTTCTTTAAAAATATATCTATCCCATAATAATTCATCAGTTTTATAAGGGGTCATCCCTTCTAATTCTATAATCTTTGAAATTATATCTATTTGTTGTTTATAAAATTTGACTTCTTTACTTAAATACATTCTTAACATCATTGTGTTTTGATTCTGTTCTGGCTCTGATACCAAATTTCTAAAGGGTTTTCGAAACTTAACTCAAACTACTACTGACTAAAGAGTAGTTGGTATGTTAAGCTCAGTAATTGCGGAATTGAGTCTATTAGACTATTAACAAAAATAATCTTTGCTTGGCCTTTTTTAATCTTTTTAGATCTTCATTTCAATCTTCAGTTGTTTGCTTCAATTTTCTGAGATTCTTAGATAGATAATATTCATCTTCAATATTACTTATTTTTTCTAAAATTTTTACTATTTTATCTCTATAATATTCGCATTGCCACTTATAAACTTTCTTATCTACAATAATTTTATGAATAAAATCAAGCATCTTAGGTTATAATGATTTGATATAAAATGGACTTTTTTACTCAAAATATAAGAGGTTAGGTACTATTTCCCCAATGTTTCTAATCTCAAAAATAATATAATGTTAAAGAATAATAAAGTTGTTTTTATGCCCACCTTGCTTCCGCATGATAAAATAAAAGAGTTGGAATTTTACCTGAAAATCCTTTAGTCTAGTCTTTAGTCAAGCTAGTGCTTCCTTCGTCCAACCCTCAACGCCAAACTTAGGCTACAATGGGTATCTAGACAGGGCAAGTGACTTCACTACTGCCTAGGTCCCTTCAGGGGTTCTTCTCATTGTATCTTATTATCTTTATACTCTTTTTTGGATTCTTCTTTGGGCAGTCAGGTCCTATATGTCCTTTTTCCTTGCATATCCAACATGTGCATTCTAACTTTGGTTTTCTTGATGGGCATGGTGGATTCTTCTAAAAATTTTAAAATTTTAAAATTTTTTCTTCTTGAAGAATTTTCCTTGTTTAAAATTCCTTTTATTTCTTTTAAATTTATCTACTTTTTTAAAATATTTTTAAAATTTCTTTTTCTTCATTTTAATTTCACAACCATATTGCCTAAGCATGTCTATTAGATATCTGCAACTATTCTTATCCATACTATCCTCTAGTCTCTTCTTAGAATCTCTTATTGCAAAGGCATTTGTGCAATATTCTCTAAGTATCTTTTTAACAAATTGTGCTTTAACTCTAGTGTGTCTACTCTCTCATTATCCTCTTTTAAATATTTTTCATATCTCTCCATTATTAATTTGTTCCATGGGTCTGGTAACTTCTAAAAGAACTAATCTATCCAGAAGGGTGCTTTTGAATTTTTTAAATTATAATAATACTTCTGAAATTCACAATAATATTCATCAAATATACCCATCTTACATATTCTTAGCTTTGTTAACTTTTCTCTTATGCTTTTTTCAAATAATCCTTGGGTATCTTGTTCTCCACAAAACTCTTTCTTTAACTCTCTAGCCATCTAGTAAGCTAATTTTGGCTTTTCTCTTATCCTAGCATCAAAGTTTGGTGCATCTTTATATCTTTCCCAAAAATTCTTAGCATTTCTTCTAAGTGATGCTTCTAAATATCCTTTAGTGAATGTCCAATCCCAAACAACATTTCCTTTGACTACTAGATCACTAGCCTACGCCCAATCTTTTATTTCTTTCTTTGGATCGATGGCATAGTCTATATCTAAGTAAACACCTTGTCATAACTCAAATTTTTAATAGAATTTTAATTTTATTGTTACTTTTAGTCTTATTTTTATTTTAACTAATATGTTTTGTCTTTATTTTCCTTGTTAGGCTTACGAACAAAAGAGGATTGGAAAAGGGAGATGAAGGAGTTTAAAATGAGGGACTTAATTGAAGAAATGGAAAGTTGGAGGGGTGAAATGCAAAGTTAAAAACCAAAACCCAAAGCCCACCAAAATCCAAAACCCAAAATCCAAAAAATCCACAATTATTCAAAACCCAAAGCCCACCAAATTCCTCAAACCCAAAATCCAAAAATCCACAATTATCCAAACCCAAAAACCCAAAAGCCCAATCTTCCCAAAAAAAAAAAAAGAAAAAAAAAGAAAAAGAAGGAGGAGAATTAAAAGCCTTTTCTCCCGAACCTTCCCCCATTTTTCAGTCAACCCTTAGCTTCTCTCTCTCTTCCGAACCCTCCCCATCCTTTTGCTAGCAACCATCAGCCGGCATCCACCTCCCCTCAAACTGCTGGCGATGAATCTCCATGCCTCTTTCCTCACCGACCCATGGCTTCTCCCTTTACCCTTGGATCTCTTTTCTTCTTCGATTTCTCTCTCTTGAACAAAATAGCCGGTAGCCATCCCTCAAAATTGCTGGTGATTGAGCTTCCCTTCCATACCCAAAACCTTTTGGATCTCCTTTTCCACTCTTTCACGCCGCCCTTGTCTTCTCAGTTTCCTTCTCTTCCTCATGCAGATCCTCGACCTGGCCCTCCTTTTCCCGTTGCAAAGCAACCGGCAGCCATCTAAAAAGGCCACCGGTGATCACCTTCCGTCTCCTATCATGGCCTTTCTTTCTTTTTCTATGCCAAAACCCCATGGTTTCAATTAATCTATCAAAACCATCATCTCTCCCGTGGCCCCAAATCCATGAATCTTTATCCTCAGCTCTCGATTTCACCCTCCTCTTCCTGTAGCAGAGCAACCGGCAGCCATCTCTCAAAAAGGAAGCCGGCGGTCCTCTTCCCCTTCTCCGGTTCCATACCTTCTAAACCATTCCCGTGGCCCAGCGCCGGCGAGTAAGCACTGGAATTGGAGAGAGGAAAGCCAGATCTACCACCCAGCGGTGGCAGTGATGTGCACGCGGACCTTTGACGAGTTGGCAAAATCCCGATCTCCCTGCAACTGGAATAGATTTGCAGAGGAAATCTATGCACGAGTGGGTGACGACAGATTAAATTGGGCATGAATGGAGGCCCAAATGCATTTTCCGAATTCTAGTAAAATGGTGAAGATTGGAGAGGCCCAAATGCATTGCAAATTCTGGTGATTGGAGGAG